ATTCTGCGTCGTTCCTCTTCCTTGCCGCCTCTCTTTCTCTCTTTTCTCTCTCTCTCTCTCTCTCTCTCTCTCTCTCTTTCTCTCTTTGCGCTTTCGCCCGTCTCTTTCCTTAAACGAGATCTTTCCTTAAACTTTTTGATACATATATACTTTACCTGACATTTAATTTTAAATGTCAGGTAAAGTATATATGTATCACTTCAATATCATACAGACGTTATTATTCACAATTATTAAACAATTACAAACAACATATTTATTATGAGTTTTTACGAACAAGCTATACAAAGAGATAAAGGAAACTGCAAGTCACGAAATGATTCAGTCATTCGTTACTTCTAGGAATCCTCTAACTCTATATTTGGAAATTGAAAGACGGTAAACAGTTAATCGAAGCTAAGAAAATAAGCTGATCATAGAATGCAGTGGATGAAATATACCTCAAAGTTTATTCGATTATTCTTGATTTTAATTTGTTTATTTTAAGAAATTATTTAATGATGACTCATCGTGAAAGTTATTCACGAATGTCTCTAAATCTATATGAAAAAAATAGTTTTGTTAAAATCTAAAAATAGCTATATACAAATCTAAAATTAGTTACATGCAAATTTAAAAATAATTTTATTTGGATCATTAAAATAAATCATTGTTTTAATATAGCCTGTTTTAATATAGTCAAATATGAGTAATGCTGAACATATTCTGGCAATCAGTTCGAGTGTCCTATATAATTATTTTGATGGTTCGGCAAAATTATTTTTAAATTTGTATCTAGCTAAATTTTTAGATATCGTAATACCAGTAATACTGTTTTTTTTTGTGTATTTTTAATTTTTCAACAATTTTACGTTTTGCGTACAATATTTTTATTAATGATAATTAAGCATATTTATGTTTGGAAGATCATTTTGTTCATTTCAGCATAATATTAATATATGGAAGAGACGATTACAGAAGTATCTAATTTACATAGCTAGGTACACATTTGAAAATAATTTTGTTGGATTATTAAAATAATTATGTAGGACGCACAATCTGGTTGCTAGAAATTTTTTGCAATCTTTTGCTCATGTTTAAGAAAATTGCTAATTATTTTAATAATTCAATAATATTATTTTCAAATCCGTACTTAATTAAAAAATTTTTAAATATTTGAGTAAAATCGTTCTTTTAGCATATAATAATATTATTCGAAAGATAAAGTTATTAGTTATAATATTCTGATATATAATTGTTTATTATATATATCATTTCTATTTAATTTTCCGTGCAATATTTTGATCTGTTGTTACTTTTGGTATTTATGCGAATTTTTAGATCGCAGAAGAATCCTATTTGTTATTTTTCTTCACGGAAAAATAAAAATGATCAAATGTCGACATAGTTGCTGTTATCATGCGGAACACGATTAAGTCGCCTTGGTTACGAACACCCGCGAATCCTGTTCTCGCTGAGAATGAAAAAATGTATGAAGCCGGTCGTCTTCGTCGTCGGGTTTTCGATAAACGATATCGCTGGAGCCGGTTCCATCGATGTTGGCTTCCCGGAGACAAACCTGCATGAATATTATCCATCGTGAACATCATCGTTAAATTGCGACTTTTAACCAACGAAACTATCAATTGGTAAGTTGGCGAGATAACGAATTTTATTTCCGATTCATCATTTATATAATTAATTACAAATAATCTTTTGTTGTACCGTTATTGAAATAAAAATATTTAAACGCAAAATATTTGCATAATGAACGAAATTCTTATCTAATATAAATAATTTTAAATATATGTATCTTTTTAATTTTATAGAAAGAAGATTTGTGTTAGCGTTAATTGCAGATAAGAGTTTATAATTACGCGAA